TCAGGCTGCAGTGTTTTCTCCTGGTGATGTGTCTCAGCCTTTGAAAGGGGCATTAGGGAAAAGAAGCATTTTGAATGTTCTGCTCATTTGTGTGCCTGAGAAATACCGCAGCAGTACTTAATGCAGCAGGACACTTTCAGAGAGGGGTATCAGCTTTGTGTATTCTGGATGCATTAAAAGTGCATTCTAAAGTACTGCTTTGTTCTTATTAAATTCTGAAATATACTTTCAATTAAAGATTAAAGTCCTGGTAAAGTTATTTATGAAGTCATAAATAACTTTTACTAAATAACTACATAATAGTTTTTTTAAGCAATACTATTTTCCAGTAACTAGTTGGGCAATAATGCCCATTATTCTCCTATAACTTTTCTCTTGAAGAAATTAAAACTGGAAATGGCAGATTTATATACATTTTATCTTCATTCTGAGAAGCAGGTCTCTTTTTAGGAAAAAGGATTCCCTGAATCTCACTAAAAAAACATTTAGCATATTTAAAATCATGTGTGATCAATACTTCCATCTTTTGGAAGTACTGGCTTAGCTAGGGAAAAAAAATCCCTGGCTTATCTAGGGAAAAAATATTAATAGTGGAAATAACAGATAAACAGGCAATATGAGCTGTTTCTATAAAGTTTTTTTAAAAAAATATTTAAAAAGTGGGAGAGTAGAGGAAAAGGAAGCCTTTGCCTTACCTAGCACATGAGAAATAAACTTTGGAGTAGAAACAGGAAGGAAAGAAGGGAGTAGGAGACAGGATGTATAGATTTGGCTTTAAAAATAACTTTCTTCCAGATCCCCTCTTTGCAGAACCAAATATGACAAAGTAACAGACTACAACTGCAATACAAAACAAGCTTTAAAGAACAACATTTTAGCTGCTCATAAATACATGCAGGGGAGTCGCAATGGAGGGCAGCAGCAAAGCAGATGAGAGACTATATAATCATCCAGTAAATACACACTGAAGAGTCAGATACTACCATGCAGCAGTATAAACATCACAGCTCTAGCGAATGATTCCATGGCACAGAAAACCAGGTGGAATTTAAAGCAGTAAAACCAAGCAATCACACACAAAGGATGTTGCATGTACAAACTTAAGAGTTTCTCTGATTTCAAGCTACTCCTAGCCAAAGGAGATTACAACAAGCAATCTGTGTGCACGTGCCGTGTTTTATGAGCAACTGATGCATTGGTATTTCAGGATGACAGAAACATACCCTAAATAGATACTAGTATTGCATATAAAACTGCCATCCCCTTTTTCCAACTCAAATAGTTCTTATGCAAGTCATCTGTAAGGTTCACTCACTACTTACTCCATTACACACCTAGACTCTTCACGTTTCAGTGTAGTGATACGAAAACTGTGCTCTGAAGCATTAAATATATAGCCCACAGCACGTATTTCAATTCATTTTAAAATAGTATAGATTCATGAAGAATCTTTTAGTCCAAAATGAACTTTGATTGTTGTGCAAAAAGCACATGCTGCTTCCTCAGAGGTTGAGCATCAATTTAGAGTCTGGAGAGCACCACTATCGAACTCTTCCTCAGAGGGAGTCAGCCTATACAGAGTTATAAATATTATATCTCACTTATCTTTTTTGATAGACTTCTATCCATTTTTCAGATTTGTCACAAGCACAGAGAGGAAAAAAAAAAAGCAAACTTTTTAGGAATTGCAACATTGACCTTAGCTACAGATAGGAAAAGAAAGTTGCCAAGCAAAACATGAGATGTACATCACTTCTTGACCGAAGAATGGAACTATTTATCAAATTACTACTAAAGTCACAGTATTATTTTTGCATCTTCAAACATAAACCTCCCACATAGAAAACCCAGTTACGTACCAAAAACAGACACTTAGGCCACCCTTAAAAAACCCTCGGCCTTTCCACAACTGTAGTTTGACAGTTTTAGCAGTGACCCATAATTCACTTTGTTCTTGTGCTTCTCCTTTTCAGAGAGAAAAAGTCAAGAATGAAAATTGCAGAACAAATTACTTGGTCCTGAACCCTCCCTCCCTCCCCTTGCTTTTAAGGGTGGCCTTACATTAAGTTTTAATTTAAATCAAAAACCACATTGACACTAATATGAACTCACTTGCTTGCCAATTCACCCCCCGGCGGGAGGTTTGGGATGCTCTCAGTTGCTAACGTACGCATCACGTGGACTAAGTCTGGTACTCCTTCACCCTGCTTCTTTATGATCTCTGGGAATCAGAAGTACTTTTTTTGTAAGTGCAGTCCAAATTTAACTTAAAAAGATTGAAACACTCAGTTTTATAAAAAGGCAACTTAACTTTAATACAAAAAAAAAAGATTACAGACCATATTTAACTTGGTACAACGTCAACTAACTTTGGTACCATAGAAACGTGCAATGGATAAGGTACCCTGCAAACTGTTAACACGCACAACAATTTCAGAATACATAACAACTTAATAAAAGTAGGAATTATTTCTTCAATGACTTTGGTGATATATCATTATTATGTCTTCCCAGTAAAACACACTGAGCAGGAGGTAGATATTAACACCAGCCTTAACACTGCAATAGCAGTTTGAAAGTTTTTTCCATGATAGAAAACATTATATTCAGAAGCAACAAAAGGTTAAACATATTAAAGATAGTTCCCACAGCTGCATGTACAAATACTTGCATCTCACTGCATGAGAGTAACATGTAAACCTTAAAAATGAATGTACAAATTAAATGCCATGAACAGAGTTAAGTGACAGCTCCATCCTTAACTCATTTGGGGGATATGTGATCATTGGGTAATTACTGAAAACTGATCCATCCCAACTTCTGATTAATGAGAATTTGTACTGTAGCCCCATTCAGGTCTGCTACAAAACTACTCCTTTAACTTTATTCTTAGGCCTGGCTTTCTGAAGTAGTAAACAAACACAAAAGAGCTTTTAGATCTTACCACCCTTGAAGAGTCACTCCAAGTTTTATGAGATCCCTATTTAAAGAACAAGTGCTTTTTAATGCATCTCAATTTCTATATGAACTGCAAGATCAGGATTATAAAAGATATGAATTAAAACTTGGAGGTATTGATTTTCAAGTGAAAACTGCAGCACATGTACAAAAATGTGTACATAGACACACTCACACTATCCTTCATGCAGTAAAGCACTTATGCAAGTTCAAGAATAGCTGGAATTCAACAGAACCCACTTTTGAAAAAAGGTATCTTGGCATTCAGTTTTTACTCAAAGTGATAAAAACAAAACAGTGTACCAAGTTTCTGCTTCATATTTTAATAAGTGAGATAAGGCCCATTAAAAGCTTCTAATGCCAAAGTATGCCCAGTCCTTTTAAATTAAAAAAAGGAAAACCTATGAATTAATTTTTGTGCATACGATAGTTTTTCAGGGCTGCACTTGTTTATGAGAAGAATCAACTCAATTTTGCAAGTCAGCTTAAGTTACTTGCAGTACATGAGACCACACACCTTAGATACCTCAGAAACTTGCCATTTCCTCAGTCTGTGGCCAAAATTCACTAGCATTCACCATCTAGCATTTAGTAAGCAATCTAACACTCTTAAATCTGAATAAGAAGCAAAGATCTCAGATTTGGTTTGCCAAATTCCTTTATTGTGCAATTTTGAACATCTAGTATATTCTACATTGTGCTAGAGCTAGAGTTCTGCTGTACAAAAATAAGGAATTTATAGTTTACCTATGCTACACAGTTTCACAACCTGTAACTGTAGTACATATAACATACAGTCTCCACTAAATTAATACATTTATATCTTGATAGAACTATAGATACAGACTGAATGAACACTGGACGACAACAAATGGAGTCGATCTGCTAGCTCTTTTTAATTTATTTGACTTGTCTTTTGTCAATACATCTTGTTAACCTCCTTTTAATTTACTTTTAAACCTTCTACACAATTTCATGGCATCAAGAAATGGAAAAACATACTTACAACCCTAAAATAAAGGATTCAAAACATATCTATTGATTTCATACTCTAAGTGGGAATTCCATACAATGTTTAAGTGAAAGCCCAAGTTTTAAATTTTGTGAAAATATGGGAAGGAACATATATTAGCTAACTTAAAATTATTTATCTCCTTATAGATATAAATATTGCAAGGATAATCTACTAACTGAGTGTTTATAGGTTAAAAAATGAGAACAGAACAAGACACTTAGTCAAGTTTAAGAGTCCACACATTGGTAACTCACAGTGCAAATAGCAGCAATATATTCTGGAATGACTGATTACTTCTATCTGAAAGTTCACAAGACATTTTAAGAGAAACACTTATTTATTGCAAGTAAATGGCACAAAGATGCTCCTCCACACTTCCTTTGTCTATCATTATCTACTACAGTTATGAATCTGGACCACTAATGGATCAAGATCAATAAAAGTCCTGGGTAACATAGTAAGTAGAAAACTTTCTATGCTTTTATTTTTCTTCTTATCTGAACTCCCTTTCATTGTTCAGATGACCATTAGTACTAAGCCCTTTTCAATCTTAATTTCAGTATTTGTTAACAGTATAAGGATATATCCTGGGCTGAGGGAAAAGTACTCATATTAACTAGAAATGCACATTAGTAAGCATCAAATATAATTATCTGTTGGACTAGACTAAGTACTGAAGTGCACAACATATATATAATATGCACTTTCATCAAGATTCAATTTTAATGGATTTTAGCTTTAACTTGATATTAGAGATAGTCTAAAAGTAATCTTTACATTTTCTAGCTCTTTTAGCTAAAAATTAGGCTTTTAAAATTTAGCCCTGCCATTCCTCAAGCATCTTAAGGTAATATTAAGATTATTCACTGTAGTGTTAAAATTTCAGATATTGTGACAGTTCTACCTTACTAGCTGCTACTGCATAATCCATTTACAGCATGGAACAAATTAATTGCATAAGAATGATTAAGTTAGATATAAAAGTCAAATCAACACTTGCACTTGCAATTTTGCTTTAGTTCAGCCTTTCAGCTTTCCTCATCAGTAAGAGCTACAAGATCAAGAATGATCTTTCTGCATACAGCTTTTATAAATCAGTCAGGTTTACTACACACTCATAAATTTAAATAGCTTTGTGCAACATTAGGCAAAAAATTGAGGACAACTAAAAAAAGTATTGACCTTTCAGAGGAAGTACAACATTTTCAGTAATTGTTTGGGCATCGCCCCATTAAATTAGTATTAAAGTGCTTTTAACTATATATAGGATCCTTCTGCTGCTGTACAATTATGACATTTCATTCATTCCTGAAATTTTGCCAATATGTTGTATTCCTGAAATGCAACATATTGGCAATCAAGTCCACTACTATATGTACCATAATGACATGCAGCTCTAATGTTTTATTTACTGAAGTGTCCGCACAAAACAGTTCTCTTTCCTTACTGTAACGTATCTAGGCCAGTGGGGCCGGCTGAAGACACAATCTTAACTCGAACACATCCTCATATTCCATGTCACAGGTTTGTCTGAATTAAGCTAAAATAAGATGTGAAGGTAACACTTGTCATCACAGAACTGGCTGGTATAAATTAAGATGGAAACTTAGAGCATACTTGTTTACCACCAGCTTTGTGAGTGGGCACATATAGTGAGCTCTTTAAGTGTCTGAGTGCAAAGCTGCTCACTGCTTTGAAATGGAGAAAGGCACCTACACTTAACTCACACAGTGTCACCGCACGCGTGGAGGCCCTTGCTACGTAGTGTCAAAACAATTCGCTATAGCTTAGTGTGCATCAACTTTCCCACCTGGGCAAGTGATAAGTGAAAATACTTAAATGCTCTGTCTAGACATTTATTCAAGAGCAAAACTACTGTGGTTCACTGAAACCTTGGGAATATTGCTTTTGAAAATGTGGTGCTTTCTGAAGAAGCATCTACACAGGTCTTAAGTGCTTCATAATGCACATTTGTTTGAAGTCACAGTTCTCACATAGGCAAGCTCTTTGCAAATTCTTTGAAGTTGCACTTTGTTTTATCTTCACGCAAGTTACAGAGGAAAAAAATGCACGATATATTCCTGTAACTCACTAATGACTGGAATGAAGCTTGCTAAGAGCTCTGCATGTCATGCCCTGCATGCTACTAAGGATACTTGGGAGTGTACACACGTGACTAGACTTGTAATATATAGGTTTGGAGGAGTTCACTTCAAAAATAGACTTAACCTATGCAAACAACACATACAATGTCTTAGGTTTCAGAACAAACTCCAAACTGTGTTCATTTTTAAACACCTAAAGGCACTATAATCCAGTGTTAATGAAAAAAATCAAACTGATTTGAAATATCATTTTGTTAGAAGATTGAAAAATGCCTAAGATTTGAAGGTGATGTTGAACGTTTAAGAACTACAGCAATACAGATTTAACCAAATTTTTCGAGTTAGATTAAGATGTGCTCTCAGTTTGTGTTCACCATGTATGCCAAAAGGTGAGCTTTGACAAATTTCTGTTAAGCAAGTATATATGTTAGCAGTTGCCCTTAAGATGACTGTAAATCAAGCTGCAACTCTTAAATAATCACATTACTATAATATTACAGCATATTACTATATTGCCATCTTCATAGACACGTTGCCAGATATTCTAGTATTTCATTTAACTCCGTATGACGGAACCAGGCTTTACTGGTCTTAAGTTAGTGCTGTCAATGAATAACACAGCACTTTTTTTTTCCCTCTGCCATCCTGAACAATCTTCAGGGCTAAAAGCTTCTGTGCTTTCCTAGCGGAATTTATGAGGCATAGAGCAGGGGTGCACGTGTGCCTTTTTCAGAGATGTAGGCTAGATGGCCAATGGCACTTGAAGGTTTATTAGGAAGCCTGTGTGGGTTAAGAGTTTAGTTGTTTCAAGGGGGATAAGGGATCTGTTTAGAAACAAAGTTACTTCAAAGTTACTTATTTTTTTTTAAATGATCCACCTTCTACTCTGCTTTCCAGGTACTTGTCCAACTCTGCCTCTCTTTTCACCGCCTCTGGTGATACCTTTGGTGCATTCGGAAAACAGATCAGTATCACACTCATGTTGTCTCGACTTCCCTGGTGGAAAAGAAAAGATGATTTTGAGAATACACATACATCAGATTAAAACCATATCAATGCATGTTTACATACAAAAATTATCAGTCACATGACATCAATTTACACTTTTTGTTCCTACAGGTTAACATTAATACAGCTCACTTTTTAAAAAATGACATTATCAATAAGTGATATGCCATAAAGATTGTGTTCAATTTTAAGTACTACCCAATCACACTGGGGGAACAGCTAAAACATTAAATTAATACTACAAAACTTCCCTAAAAGCAATAATTAATAGTTGCTTAACTCAGACACTGCTTCCATCTTAAAATATATAAAAAAATCTACTGTTGACTAGCAGGGTTTTGTTTGCTTGTTTGTAAAGAAAAGAAACAAGAGTTTGATGAAAGACCTGTTCAAAGTGGCTCTGGTTTGTAATTGTATCATTTAGGCATTAAAACAAACAAACAAACAGAAAAAAACAGGGTTTTTTGAAATGCAAGGTTTAGGAATTCAAGCTAAACACAACCCTAACACCTAAATATATTAAAATGCAACTACATTCTGCATATGAAAAATAAGGGTCTATGGCACTTAATACAGTGAAAATAAACTAATCTGCATTCACCATATACTTTTTACCATTCATCAAATCCACTGAAGCCAACAGAACAGAGAACAAATAAGTTATTAGAACAGGTATGTATGGAGAGATGCTATTGCAAGGCTTTAACATCAGCAACACGGTGTTCATTCCCTGTTACTCATTTTCAACATGAACTAGTAAAATTATAAACAAAAATTAGTGTATTTTCAACTTCTTGAGTATTGGAAAATATTTTTTCTTCTCCAAAAGGGAAGCAATGACCTTGTTAGCCATGTGTCAAGAGCTGTGATGTTGTCTTGTCTCTTTAGTATCAAAAATACTGGCTTTCTTGAAACATTATGACTCAGCGCGCCTTTGGAAAATTAAATGACAAGCTATGAAAATAGGTATTTCAAGTCTCTTCTATAATTGCATGATTCTACAATTTATTAAAATTAATGGAAGCTATTGCACATAAAGCCAGATTTTATATACAAAACAGTCCTATCTTCTTCTACTTGAATTTGTTTCAGAGCCATATGACAGACCATTGAACAAGAAACACAGTAATTGAAAAAAACTAACTTACGAAGTCAGATCTTCATACAGTCAATAATTTTAAACTGCAAAATACGATATTATGGTTCAGTCATTCTGCACCAGCAATTACACCATTTATTTTGGTGTGACTAAGACAGGAATGTCCTATGTGCACAGGAGAGGAAAAAAGTGGGTGGGGGAGGGGGGGAAAGGAAGGGAAAGACCATTAAGATCATTCTCTAGTCTAAGACTTGAGAGTTAAAGGTTTTGTAAGATATGCTGAAGCAGAGACGGGCAGTTATGGTCCTCAGTGTGGCCCCAGGTTTCCATCAGCTTCCTGGTGATCACAACATACCTGTACATCATTTTAAACTCCTAATCAATGAAAGAGACCTAGAAAGCAACACCGTTTATGTTGGGTGTTCCCCAACACCACTTTTATGGAAACCTTTCCCCCAAATTAAAACATATGATACTTATAGACTGGATCCAAAACTTATTCTTAACTGATTCATCAAATTCTAATAGTGAAAACATATTAAGCTTCTCCTCTCAGTTCTGGCTACCTTGTACAAGCAGGTGTCAACTATCTCATTGCAAACTTTCTCAAGGTCATCAGTGACTTCAAGCCTGGATCTTACAAAGTCACACAGTTCTTCATTCCCCATAACATCCCAGATACCATCGCAAGCCAAAAAAAAACTTCCGATCTCTCAATTTCATAAACTTCAGGCTCAGGTGAAACTAGCTGCTCTGTAGGACCTTTCCCATGGACACATTTGTAATCAAAGTCCCCAAGTGCCCTTGACACAGCAAGAGAACCATTCACACGCTGAATCATTACAGAGCCCCCTGCATTCTGTATGCGCTCTTTCTCCAGTGGATTACTTGGTTTGTGATCCTGGGTGAAGAAGTGAACCTTCCTGTTTCTACAAAGTAAACCTCTCGAGTCTCCACAGTTGATGAAGTATGTATGTTGGGGAGAAATCATGACGCCCACAGCCGTTGAGCCGCTTCTGTCTGCGCCATGCTTCTTCTCGGAGATGACTCTCATGTGTTCGTCGATTTGCAGAAAACCTGTTCTGATGCCGCTCTTTACACTCTCCACAGATGGTGGGCCATCTGGTCCTTTAAAATCCTGGTTGCTTGTGATGTGATCTAATAAATGCTCACAGCAGTACTTGGCAACCTGGGATCCGGCATGCCCATCATATACAGCAAAAAATGACCATCCATCAAGTCCGTTTGGCAAACCAATCACAGCCGTATGCGCGTCCTCCATTTCAACTCGCCAGCCTTGCATGCTGCTCAGACCGTAACGAAGCCCATTCCCCTGCCCTTGGGCATTATGCTTCTCCATCTTTGGCTTGTCTAAAAATGCTCCCATGATGACTTCCCTTCAGTTCTGAAAAAGAAAAGAGTATTAAGGTTATTTGCTGAACATAGGTTGATGTTTGAATACATTATCATAGGGTTAAGATGACAAAAAACCAACAAAAATACACAGATATAAAAGGAGACTCAGCTGTTTCTAGAGGTTCCATCTCAAATTTGCTCTGCTTTCTTTTAAACAAGGACATTGCTAATAACTGAACTGCACTCCATATTTTAAATATCTTTACTGGTTGTTACACTTCAAAAATTTGTATTCCACTAGCATTCATGGTTCTGACAAAAATCTCTTCTATCAACATACATAAGCGTTCTTTCAGATTACTTGAACAAGCACACATCTGAAAAGCAATGTTCTCTGGGCTTACTAGGCCAAGGAGCTCAATGTTTCCAGGACAGCAGCAATCTCCCTGGAGTCCTGCCTCCCAGCCACTAAGTCCTGCTTACCTCCTGCTTTCTTCATGGTGGTGGGGAAGTGAAGGGGAACTGACTAGTTTTTCTTATTGTGGAAAGCACATTTTTTTCTTATTAAGAGATAAAATGATCTGAAGGGTCATGATGAATGCTAGAGCCTGCATAAAGAAAATGGTAAGACTGGATAACCAGGAGCAAGACACAGAAGCAACAGAGCAGCTGTCCCTTTAGGCAGCAGCAAGCCATTAGTTTGACTCAGCCATCTTGTGAAAGCTCATCCTTAGATTTTCAGTTAAATTACACAGCAAGCTTCTCAGATGTCTGTGCTGCAGATTTACTTAAAACCTTAATGTATTTACGCTTCACTGAAAAACAACTGCCCCTGACAAGTGAAGGAAAGCTGGAACCAAAATTACAAGCACTGCAAATTCATGCTTTTTTATTCAAGCTAGACCAATATACTGCCCACCCTACCCTCCTCTGCCTTCTCCCATCATTGGGATGTGATGTAGCAGATACTTATGCTCAAGAGATGAAAAAATTATTTGCAGGCAGCATAAAATGACTGGTTTATCTTGACAGCTCTCACACCCTCACCATTCAACCCACCCTTCTAATCCACATCAGTTTATTTGTGCATTCATTAAAAAACAAAAACAAAACCAAAAAGCACCACACACCCACACAAAATAGGTCACACATTTTACATACTTGCAAATTCTGCCCCAGAAAGGACCATACCATGTGCAAATCCCTGTTATACAATATAGTGTAATGGAACAAGGCTACAAGCTTTTCTATTTCAAGATAGTTGACAAAAAACTATATTGTGAGAGACTGTCAGAAACACATTTTATCTAAAGACCCAATTAAGCTGCTTTATTAGCAAAAAAAAAAAATCTTAACTTACTAAATGTTTTAGAAGGTTTTTAACTTTTATGCAGAGAACACTGAATCAATTTGCTGAGCAATAACCCTATGACTTTTTGATAACATGTTTTTATCCTGACATGCCTCCAGTTATAAATGAATGGAATCTATGTACATACATTTATACAGCCACTAAAGTTTTTCAGATTAGGTCTTCTCCAGCCAGCTATGACCCTTTCGTGAAATATTTTTATATGTTAGGATAAACCACCAAAGAATGTTTGCATCTGATCTCACCACGACAGTGATTCAAATGTGATATGTGCGGACTGAGCATACACTCCTTTGCTCATGTGCTTTGCTAGCAAAACCAGAATCCACTCACACACTCGAGTCATCTGGCATGAGGCCGGCAGCAGAACCCTCTGCTTCCCCTCACACCAACTCCTGTTCTTAAGTTCTGTCTCTTCTCAAGTGAGCACAAAATGATGCCCACACAAACCGTAACTAGACAACAAAACACAGTGTATGCTCATCTCTGTCTCTTAAGCATATGCATGAGGTTCACGTTACGGCAGTTGCTAGGAAAAATATATATATAATTTAGGCCTTTTTATATTCACATACAACTCTAATGAAGTCAGAGTGATCAAAATGATTACAGACTGTTGCCATAAATCAAATGGGGAATTATTGGACAGAAGCGACTTTATTCATTACACTACAGCAGCAGCATTTAAGCTAAATCCTACTCCTTTCTCATTGTTGAAGATATAATAAAATAACATGTGGTCATTCTACAATCTCACCTTAATTCAGAACTCAAAAGGCAAAAACTACTCTGGCAAATATATTTTACAGTGTATTTTACATTCTTCACTATTGTAGAAGAAAAGCAAAACAAAAACAACCAACAAAAAAACAGAAAATAAAAAACCACCACTACACATAAGACCTTTCCTTCTAGTCTCTGTATATTATTAGGTATCCACTACTCAGACACAACGGTGCTTTGCAAATTATTCTTCTTCCTTAGCAGTTTGTCAGCTGTACCACAATTAGAAATGCATACGGACAGGTCAGACACCATTCTAGCAAATCATACATAACTATCAGGATACTTCAAAAATTGACAAGTCTACTCTCCATTTAAAATCAAGTCACCTCAACCCTTCGCAGGAGGTGAAAGCTGTTGTTATTCTAAATCAAGCACTATAGGCACATAATTCTTTAAGGGTGTGAACAGAGGTGAAGGCAATCAGAGAGAAGGGTAATCACGATGTAGTTGGAAAACTTCTATTTAGAAAATTCAGAGCCCATAGCATGAAGTATTCAGTCTAAAAGCTGCAGTAATAGACTGTGGCTACCTTGCTTGCAACCCTCTAGCTAATAATACTTCTGTTTTGATGCCAATCTACACCTGCAGGCTAATAGGTTAGTTCTTCAGAATCCTCAATAAATCAAAAGGGAAAACATAGTTTATTTGTAGGCAGGAGAAATATGCCGAGTCTACAGGTTGGAGAAGTGTTTTGTTGTTGTTGTTGTTGTTAAAAAAAAAAAAAAAAAGTCAAGAGTTTAATCACAGTTCTCAAGAGTTAGAAAGTGATCTGCTAAAGTCTCCCCCTATTAGGCGTGGCTTAAAAACAAAATTCAAGACTCAAAGCAACAAAGCTATTCAGCTTTAAATTACAGTACAAAATCCTTAAAAAAAGGGCTGACAGAAACAATCTGTACTCCTCTCCCTACCAGAGAAAATACCCTTTACACATGTTCTTGTCCCCATATCTACAGAACAATGCTTCACACCTCAGTGCCCACCTAATAAATCACTCCTCATTCTTTCGTGAGGTGGTTTGTGCACTGTACAGATTAGGCTGGAATGACACGTTCAGTTAAGCACATACAACTTAGGCAAGTCAGACCTAACATATAGGACTGCAGTTGTCCAAATTAAGAGAATGACTTTGTTGTGTAACAACATGATCAGGACAGATACAAACCCTAAACAGCCTGCATCCACAGCTTACAATAAAGCTTTAGATATTAAATATCGTTAAGTAGCCCTCTTATTTCTTCTGTCATCTTCCCAGAAAGGACTCGCATTCTAAGACTCTTATTTTCCATATAATTTTAGCATCCTTCTCCCTTGCCCTGCTTAACCCAGACCAACCACTCAGCAACAGTGTTGGAAAACACAGTTGGAGATGGGAAGAGAACCAGTCCTCTCTTCTACCCTGACTTCTCAAGATGCTTGAACCACATATTGATCTACCAGACAGACATTCCTCCTATTTCTATAAAAGCTGAAAAAGAGAAAATTCTCTCTGCATATGAAGTTTAGTAGCAGAAATGTTATCTATCTCTGCAACATAATGTAGCAGCAAACTGCCTCAATGACCACTCGACCAAGTCCCAAATTTAACCAAAGCAGACTCCTTGCTCCTTTGTATGGCTTTCATTAGTTCCTTCTACAAGGAGGGAGTTATCTTGCAGGCAAAGTTCCTGGCTTTTGGCTTTTAAAAATAATTAGAGGTTTCTGAATAATAATAATAATAAATGAGAATGAGTCTATGTGCACAAATATGAACATGCAGGAGATACATCCATGAGTGCACCTGAACCTGACTTAAAAATATTAGCTTTATGGAGTCCAATTGAAGGACAGACCGTAAAGAAAGTGTCCCGCAAAAAAACTGAGTTGCAGCTTGCAGACAAAAAGCAAGAGCACTTTATACAGCCTATGGGGAAGAAGGGGGTGGGGGGCAGATCCACACACAAGTAAGATCTAGGGTAAAACACCAGAGTGCCAGAATTCAAAAGGCTGCAGCACTAGGAATAAAACTGAAATAATGATGGAGCATGCCAAAGAGTAAGTAGCTAAAAACCTTGAAACTAGATGCAACTGGAGAATAGAGTGGCAAAGAAAAGAGGGGTAATTAGTATACCAGATCACGGACAACCATGGACAACCACAGATACATCACTGGAATGCATGAAATTTCTTTGCCCCTTCATTTGTCCCTCGAATTGTGCTATCCAGAGAACATAACTATATTGCTTTCTGACACATGTGAACATTTCTGATACAATGTGATACATTACTTTCTGATACATTTTTATCTTCTGCTAATTAATTTGACTGAAAGTTCAAATAAAGGTAAGTTTTAAACTGTTCACAAAGGACAATCAATGTGATTCCATGCATCCCTGTTAAAGATCTAATTTCCCAAAGAACTCAGGAGGATTTGAGCACCAAAACAAACAAACAAAACCCCCCAAAACCATCCCTCACGTAAAACTTGTATTTTAACAATATAGAATTCAATAATCCTTTTTAAACAACATTTGAGTCGTATTTTTTCCACTAAAAATAACTACTCATATGAGCCACATTGAAGTAATGGGTACTTATCCAAACTAAGCTTAGAAAAGTCTCTATATTTCAATTTCCTGGAACGATTCTCCAAGTAACATTATTGTCCCTATGCTGTAACAAGCATGCATATGCAAGATTACAATCTCTACTTCAGCTATAGGACAAGTCACCAATCACACAGGCTACTACAGAGCAGAAAAAGGACATACTAAAACCCCTCAACTCCAATCTGACCTGTAGTTCTTGCTTTTCCCTTTAAATAAGTCGGATGCAGTAACCAGTCAGCATTTAATTGAATAAAGATGGAAAAGGTTTTCAAATTTTAGAGTCATTAAAAAGCTTCTTGCCA